ACTATAAAAGGTGGAAAATGCTGCCACAGTATCCGTTTAATCTGAGTATGTGGTATTGTGGTATACTGCCATTTCTAATTTACCAGGACTTGATATTTTTGGTTGACTTCCTCATATCATAGATGAAGATACAGTGCTTTTATTTTACCTGCCCTAATGTGACCATCTTCCCAAGAACCTGTGTCCATGCCTTCAGTAATTAATGCCAGTGTTGCTTTGATGATATAATAATGGGTCGCTGGAAAGTGGTCTACTGTGATTAGAATCCCCTATCCCACAGCTGACACTTACTTTTTAAAATATATCTTATTTCATGGGTTTTCTTTCCATACTGATATTGTGGAGTTTTGGGTAAGTATTTTTTTATACAGTAATTGAGCCAACCTAATTAGTTTTTGCTGTTGTTGTTGTTGTTATTTTTGTACCAGGGACCTTGATCAGGACCTTGTGTTTGCAAGGCAGATGCAGTGCCACTGAGCATAGGTATTTAATTGAAATATTTGCTTACTTATATCTCTTAAATCATGCATCTATTTTAATTAAAAATTGCTACAGTTCATTTTTTAGTTATTGTTTCAGTAAATGAATCCTTTATTATCTAAAAATGCATGTACTTTCCCCCCTATTCATAGTTGATTGCTAGATACAGAATTCTAATTTCACAATCACTTTTTCTCCAAAATGTATAGACATCATTGTATTATCGTTAGGTCTCCAGTATTGCCACCTAGAAGTTCAGTGTCTCTGTAATTCACATTTATTTGACATGATCTGGCTTCCTGTTGGAATGCTTTTAGGGTTTTATGGGAGAGGGGAAGTTGGGTTTTTCTTTGTCTTAGAGTGTACACACCTTACAAGGGTAGCTTACTCATGGATCTTTGCATACATGGGGTTTAGCACTCCTAAGTCTTGAGTTCTAGGAAACATTTTTTTTATTTTTATTTCCTTGATCTCATGCTTGACATTTACTATTCTAATATTCTCCTAGGAAATGGGCCTTCGCCTTTCATCTTTCCATGTCTATCTTTTAAAGCTATTCTGGAGAATCCTGAGGCCCAGGCACTTATTTCCATTTTACCCTCTTCCCTATGCATTGCAGCCCTGGATAAGGAGGCCAGATAATCCTGTCAGCCTTGGAGCCTCAGAAACAGATGAGGCCTCAGTGTCCTGTAGGACTATCACTTGGGATCCACATCATAGTCATTAATTTAAGATCATTTCAATCACTTTATTAGTTTAGCATTATTATTTCTGTACCAGCATGTTCATGTTTTATTAGATTTTATTTAAATGCATTATTCTCTCCAGTTTCTCTAGGATTTTAATTATGTACCCTTAAATTTTTCTTTATTTCTTGAAAATGTGCCTCTTATTAGTCCCCCCCTTTCTTTTTTTCCCCCACTTACATATTTTTAAATTGTCACCTTGGAGTTTCTCCAAAAGTCCTGCATTCATTCCTGTCAATGTGGGATTGAGCATCCTCAGCTGGTCCCTGACACCTTTGGAGCATGTGTACTTTAGGGGACTCCTCTGTGACTGGGCCCCAGGGGAGTGGCTCAGAATCCCAAGAGTGACCAATAAAGGCCACTGCTGAAGGACGCCTCTCTGCACTCAGCCCCAGTGCCAGGCCCTCTGCCTTGTAAGTGTGCAGGTCAGAGGCTGCCTGAATGCTCGCTCATTGTTGATCCTGCATTTGCAGTTTAAATTTCTGAGACTTCTTGAGACAATCTCTTTTTTTTTTCTGCTGTACCAGGGATTGAACTCAAGACCTTGCTCTTTCGAGGCAGGTGGTGGAACCACTAAACCAAATCTTGGCAACAATCTCTTATTCTTGATAACACTCTTTCCTGTGTGTGGTTTGAACTATGCATATTTTCTCTGGCTTTCTTGTCATTCTTTTTTTTTTTTTTTTTTTTTTTTTTTTTCCGTGCCGGGGATTGAACTCTGGTCCTTGCACTTGCAAGGCAGGCCACTGAACCGCTGAGCTAAATCCCCAGCCCTATTTTTCGTCATTCTTAATCCATCTGTCTTTGCCATCTAGGAGTCCTCAACAGTTCTGCTGCTGATGGCAGCCTTTCTTTCCCCCAAGACCACTGCAGATTTCTTTTTTTGTCATTTTGTTGTGGCAGAGCAGAGCAGCTCAGTGCTATAGCCAAGTATTATAGCTCAATGTCACAGCTAAGTACCACACCTCAGAGATAAGGCTGAGTGTTAGAACTCAGTTTTGCAGCCTACTGCCACAGCTCTGAGGCACAGCTGAGCTTTACAGCGTGGTAGCTCTGGAACACAGCTCTCTTAATTTGAAGACTCAAAAATCCAATGGTCAGTTAAAGAGGAGGGAAAAAAAACCCCAAAACATTATACCAGCAAGCCCCCTACCAGAAATGAGAACTTACTTATATAGGGATCTATAGGGTAGGCAAGCATGCTCAGTGAAGCAGGGGTCAGAGTTACAGAACATTTCTGAAACACTATGCCTTGTGAGCATGCTCACTGAAGCAGGGGGAGGAGTTATAGAACATTCTGAGGGGGCAGGGCTTAACATCCTTCTTGTGAGAGGGCAGAGCTTAACAACATTCACAAACCATTTTGATACATTAAGCCCAAACTGAGGAGTTACAGAACATTCCTGAGAGGGGACAGAGCTTAACAGAACATTCCTGAAAGGTCACAAAGTTCAGTCAGTCACACACCATTTTGATACACTGGGCAGGAGCCAAACAACACAAACGTATTTCAGATGAGATCAGGAGTGGTATTGCCATAGACTTTTGTTTTAGGTTTTTTGGGGGGGTTGTTTGTTTTTTGGGGGTTTGGTTTTGTTTGGGGGGTTTTCCCCTCATTGAGTTTATTGGTACATTTTAGGTATACAGTACAGTTACATTCATTATTGCGATCTTATACCTTTACATGACAGGTCTTGGTTCTCATTTTTTCCCCTTGTCCCTGCCCTCCCTTCACCTCTCTTCCCCTCCCCCTTTAGAAACACTTTATTTCCATTTTTTTATTTTCTCATATTTTTTCTTTTCCCTTATTAGCTTTCCCCTACCCTTCCCACTTTCCCTACAGCTTTAGCCCCTTTCTTCCTATTTCACATTGTCCATTATATCATTAGGATCTTATGTACTATTATAGTTTATTCACACCAGAGAAACTATTTGGTATTTACATATGTGTGACATTTATTTCACTTAGGAGTATATCCTCAATATGTATCCATTTTCCTATGAATGAATCTAATTTCTCATTCTTTATGGCTGATTAATATTCCATTTTATAGAAAAACCACATCTTTAATAAATGGTGTTAGAAAAACTGGATCTTAACCTGCCAAAGATTAAAACGGGACCCTTACCTTTCGCCATACACTAAATTAAAATCCAAGTGGATTAAAGATCTAAATATTAAAACAGAAACACTAAACTTGCTGGAAGATAAGTTAGGCAGAACTATTGAAGACATTGGCATGGGGGTTTTTGTTTTTGTTTTTTGTACCAGAGATCAAACTCAGGACCTTGAGCTTGCGAGGCAGACAGTGGCACCACTGAGCTAGATCCCTGGCCAAGTCCAAAACAAAACATTCTGCGGGGGTGGGAATGGAGGAAAGGCAAAAGCCTGTCTTAATGTATAGCACTTCTCTATCAATTTTAGTATAGTAGTAGGATATTCATATGAATCATTTTGCTGATGTTTTGTTTGTTGGGTTTTTTTGGTACTGGAAATCGAACTCAGGACCTTGCACTTGTGAGACAGGCAGCAGCACCACTGAGCTAAATCTCCGTCCCTCACATGAATCATTTTAACCAACATTTGATCAGTCATTTCTCTTGGGGCTTCAGCTGGACAAGACTAAGCATACCTTGCCAGACCCTCAGATTTTTTTTTCCCTGTACCAGGGATCAAACTCAAGACACTGCACTTTTGAGGCAGGCCCCACTGAGCTAAATCCCCAGCCAGAATCTCAGAATAATGTCAGGCTTGCCTGCCTCCTAACCCCAACCTTTTCCTTGTTCATTTCCTATCTGGTTATGTGGAACCCAGTGCCTCACTCCAGCAGGGAGCATGCTCAGAGCCTCTTTTCCCTTGGCTTCTAGGCTGTTTGTCATTACATGGTTTAGAATGGGATTTAGCCCAGTGGTGCCGCCACCTGCCTTGCAAGCACAAGGACCCAAGTTTGATCCCCAGTACATACAGTCTCTTATTTTCTCCCCACAGCCATCACTCTGTCATTACTCTGTTTTTCTTCTGAGTTGCTATTGCAGCCAATTCTCTCTACCTAAAATCTTAACTTTGCAGTGGTGTTTATAATTCATTCAAGTCCTTTAATAGTTTTGGTCCCTACAAGGGTTAACTGTAGGTCCCTAATGCTGGACATAAATCCCTTTACTCTGGTTCTGCTTCCTCTCCAGGTTATTCTTCACCATACCACTGTTATGCACACGCATATATGTGGTATGTGGTGTGGGGCAGGGGGTGGCATGGTGTTGTTGGGGAGCAAGTCCAGGGCCTTGTACATGCTAGGTAGAGTGCTCTGCCACTGAGTTTTTTCCCTTGTAGCCCTAATACCTATTAAAGTAGAATACCAATCAAGTGGAAGTTTAATCAAAGCAGAATGAACTGGAATGAAATGTTATTTCTGGCAAAGTTGTAGGATTCATAGCCTTTTGCAGGATTAGGAAGGGAATATTGTATTGGCTGTGGTTAGAAGCAAAGTGAGATCATGTGTCTTTGAACCCAGGTTTTCAAACCCAAGTCTTCCTCTCCTTGTGACATTAACACAAGGGAGATGACTATAAGTCAAACTTTCTCTTATGAAATCTTAAAGCCCACCCTTTGTTTTTATCATTGAATTTTGTTTGTTTCCTAGGAAACTTGAAAGAGAATTCTGTGGAGAGTCTTTGGAACAAAGGACTCTGGGACCTGTCACATACATAGGCTTCCTGCAGTTGATTTCAGAGGAAGTGGCCAGATAGCACCTAGGAGTAGGGACTGTATTGTGACTCTTCAGGGGAAGAACTAGATCCCTGCCAGAAGTGAAGCATCTTGTCATATTCCAGAAACAAGAATGGTGTGGTGATTCTTCAGTGACTTCACAAACATTGGAAGTGAAAAATACATATCTTTGGCAGTCCCAGATGGCCACACAAGACTCCCCTGGGAAGCTGTGTAAGAATGAGCCCCAAGACCCTCAGGAGAGCAGAGGTGTCTTTGCACCTGAAGAGAGCACCAAGAGGCGGGTTGTGAGGGGAGAGAGGCCTCCCATGGCCCAGGATTCTGAAAACTTGCAAGTTAAACTTGTGTCTGATAGAACAGAGCCTGCGTTGTCACTGGTTGGTGGTGAAGCCACTTGCCAGAGTGGCCCAATGAAAGAATCTTCAGATCCCTTTGTCTGTAACCAAAAAGATATTTTAAAATGGAAGTCACAGTTGGTCAACTACAGCCACCAGAGGGCTCACACAGAGCAGAAGCCTTGTCACTGTGGTGAGCATGGGAATATGCTGCACGCCAGCCCAGATGCTTGTCCCTGCACAAACACCCACACTGCAGAAAAGCTGCACAGATGTGACCAGTGCAGAAAAGACTTCAGTCAGCAATCAGAGCTCCTGCTGCACCAGAGGCGCCACACGGAAGAGAAGCCCTACATGTGTACACAGTGTGGCAAGAGCTTTACCAGGAGCTCCAGCCTGCTTGTCCACCAAGCCATCCACACTGATGAGAAGCCCTACAAGTGTGACAAATGTGGCAAGGGCTTCACCAGGAGCTCCAGCCTGCTCATTCACCACTCAGTCCACACCGGTGAGAAGCCATACAAGTGTGACAAGTGTGACAAGGGCTTTAGCCAGAGCTCCAAACTGCATATCCACCAGCGTGTACACACAGGGGAGAAGCCCTATGAGTGTGAGGAGTGCAGCATGAGCTTCAGCCAGCGCTCTAACCTGCACATCCACCAGCGCGTGCACACTGGGGAGAGGCCCTACAAATGCGGGGAGTGTGGCAAGGGCTTCAGCCAGAGCTCCAACTTGCACATCCACCGGTGTATCCATACTGGCGAGAAGCCCTACCAGTGCTACGAGTGCGGCAAGGGCTTCAGTCAGAGCTCAGACCTCCGCATCCACTTCCGGGTGCACACAGGGGAGAAGCCCTACCACTGTGGCAAGTGTGGCAAGGGCTTCAGCCAGAGCTCCAAGCTCCTCATCCACCAGCGTGTGCACACCGGGGAGAAGCCCTATGAGTGCAGCAAGTGTGGCAGGGGCTTCAGCCAGAGCTCCAACTTGCATATCCACCAGCGTGTGCACAGGAAGAACCCAGACCCATGAGAGCCAGGCCAAGTCTCTAGGGCTGTGAGGACTTCTGTGTTTCTAATGTATTTCTAATGTATCTCTCGCCTTTCTGTTCCTCGAAAGAGAAAGATAAGGGTCAGTCAGATATGTGCCCTCACTGAAATGTCATTCATTAATTCAAAGCACCAAGCACTTAGCTATGTTGCACAATGAGTAGGGTGTTCTGGTCCCTCATGTGGGTAGAGTGAAATGTCTACATTTCAGTTCAGGCAGTGTTATTAGAACTACATATCTATCCACTTGGCATTTTAACTGTAAGAACTTTATATTTATCCAGGCAGGGCATGTTTTTCTGTGTTCATATTCTGTGCAAAATTGTAACTCTTATTTCTCTTCAGATGATGTGTATCGTGTTTTTCATATCTTCTTTGGAGTCCCAAGTAGCCTCCCTTAAACTCTGATTATATATTACATCCATTTTAGGCTGGAGGGGATGAAAGTTGGAGATACAACAGATGTGGAAATTTCCTACATTTAATGCTAAAATGTACATCTATTTGTGGCTAGATAACAAGGAGCCAGAGAAGAGCTACTCCTGTTGTAGACCCCCATATGCTGTTTTAACAAAAATCTTGAATACACACAGACATACACTTGCCCCAGGCAGCCCCACAGAAACATAGTTATTTTTCCTGAATGCAGCCAGCTTATTGGAGTGCCTCCAGGCTGGAAGCAAAGGAAGGTCCATAACAACATGCCCAAAGTATGTACCAGAATACAGCTGGCACTGAAGGGTGGTTCTGAGAGGTACGTTCCGGGAAGAGCTAGGAAGAGCTGGTATAGGGAGCATGTGGAGGCTGATCAGGAGAGGCTGCAGAAACTATGTCAAGGCTTAGAAAACTAAAGCAAAGAAAGTGGCAGCCAGTGTATTGTTATTAAACATGTCTGATTTCTCAAGACAGCATTGAAATGCTAGGAAAATATTCTTATGTTCATAAAACCAAGAGAAAGATCTTAGCAAGTGAAATCTCAGAAAATGAGAGCTGGAAGATAGAAGCTGTGGTGGTGCACATCTATAGTCCCAGATACTCGAGGTGAAGGTGGAAGGACCACTGAAGCCTGGGCAATGGCAAGACTCCTAAAAAAAAATTTAAATCGGGAAAGGCAGCTATCAGAACAGAAGCAGACAGTTTATGCTACCCGCATATGCTTATTTTAGAAAAGAAAGATTTCAAATCTAAACTCACTTTAAGAATCTAAAAAAACTTTAAAAAAAAATTTAATGCGAGGTGTGATGATGCATGCCTGTAATCCCAGCACTCAGGAGGCTGAGGCAGGAGGATTGCTGTGAGTTTGAGACCAGCCTGGACTACATAGTAAATTCCAGGTCAGTCTCAACTACATAGTGAGACCCTGTCTCAAAAAAAACAGAGAACAAACAAACAAACAAACAAAAACATTTAGCACAAAACAATCATGGGCCGGACATTTAGCTCAGTAGTTCCGCCGCCTGCCTCGCAAGTGTAAGGACCCGAGTTCGATCCCTGGTACCTAAAAAAAAAAGTTCTCTAGCACAAAGCAATCAGAGAAGGGCATGATACAAATAGGAATTAAAAATGAAATTGCAAATGTACAAACAATAGGAAAATTCTGTGGAATCACAACTTGACTTTTTAAAAAGATTGGTAAGTCTAAGGGCCATATCAGCCTGAACACACTGATCTTGTCTGAAAAGGTTGATAAAAGTCCCCATATCAGGAATGAAAGAAGAAATATCACTACAAACCTTATAGATGTTAAAAAGGTAATAAAGCAACGTTACCAACTTTATGACAAATGTATATATACCAAAGGAGAAAACTGAGCCCTAATAAGTTGAATTTGTAGCTGATGAAATTTCACAAAGAAAAGTCCAGGCCTATATGACACAAATTCTATCAAAAATGTAAAGTAAAGGAAATACGATTCTACACAAAATCTAGCCAGAACAGACACTTCCCACTTGATGAGACCAACATAACACAATTACCAAAGCCAGAAAAGACATCAAAAGAAAAAAGCCGGGCATGGTGGTACACAACTGTAATCCCAGCACTCAGGAGGCTGAGGCAGGAGGATTGCTGTTAGTTCAAGACCAGCCTGGGCTACACAGTGAGTTCCAGGTCAGTCTCAGCTACATAGTGAGACCCTGTCTCAAAAAACAAACAAACAAACAAAAATTTATAAACAAAAGAAAAAAATAAGATCAGAATTTCACAAACATAGATGTGGAAACTTGTTCTGAAAATGGCACTCTACAATAGCATTACATCATGAAGTAAGGTTTAATCTAGAAACGCACAGTAGCTTTTGCATCCAAAAAGCAGTGTTCACTGAGTGTAGTGGCACATGCCTGTAATCCCAGAACTCTTAAGACTGAAGCAGGAGGATGGCAAGTTCAAGCCCAGCCTGAGCAATTTGTAAGACTCAAATTTTGAAAAGGGTTGGGTATATAGCTCAGTACTATAAAAAAGTCTTTTAGCATTTTATATAATAAACTACAGTAGATGTTTAAAATGTAAGGAAAAGGAGTCAGGAATGTAGCTCAGCAGCATAGAGCCTGCCTAGCAAACATGGGGCCCTGAGTTTGATTCCCAGTACAAAAAAAAAAAAAAAGATGTAAGAAAATTTTGAGAAAATGCCACCCATTCATGATAAAACTCAACTGACTAAGAGGACTAGGAATTAAAGGAAACTATCAATTTAACAGAATATGGAATTTACATATGACATCATGTTAAATAATGAAATGAAGAGCACTTTCCTCCTAAAATTAGGGATAAGGCAAAGATGCATACTCACTGTCAGCACTGTACCAATGTCCCAGCCAGTGCACTAAGGGAAAAGGCAGAAAAGGAATGCAAAAAAAAAATTGTTTTTAGGAATGCAAAATTTGAAAGAAAACATAAAACAATCTATTTGTTGTGACACTTTTGTCTATACAGGAAAATATAAGATGTATATGATAATTTTGGCCAGGCATGGTGGTGCACATGTATAATCCCAGAACTTGGGAGCCTGAGGCAGGAAAATCCCCATAAGTTTGAGGCCAGGTAGGATTACATAGCAAGAGCCTGTCACCAAAAAAAAATTACTGATTTTTTTTTTTTTTTTTGCTTTATAGGGGAGATTTACTTGAAGGAATATTAAAATATATAGACTGCATAAATGGTGGGGGCAGGTACCAGGGACTGAACTCAGGACCTTCCGCCTTCAAGTCAGGTGGCAAAGCCAGAGCTAAATCTCTGGCCTACTCCATCAATTTTAAAACCTGTTCAGGGCTGAGGATTTAGCTCAGTGGTTCCGTCTCCTGCCTCAAAAGCTCAAGAACCTGAGTTCAATTGAGTTCAATACCTGGTACCAAAAAGAAGGAAAAAAAAAAGCTGTTCAGCAGATGCAGTGGCATAAGCCTGTAGTCCCTGCTCCTCAGAAGGCTGAGGCAAGAGGGTTGCTTAAATCTAGGAATTTGAGTCCAGCCTGGGAAACAGACTGCCACCTCAAAATAAACTATGTTGTTTGAAGCTATATTAAATGAAAGCCAAGGATTGAAAGATAGGAAAACTTCTACCTAGAATATATAAAGAACTCTTACAACCCAGTTTAAAAAAAAAAAGACAACCTGATGAAAATATAGACAAGATTTGAATGAGTACTGTATTAAGGAAGATGTGCAAATGTCAAGCCCATGAAAAAATACGCAGTGTTAATCCTTAGGGAAATGTAAAATGGGACCACAATAAGATAACACATGCCTAGAGTTAAAAATGTATAATATCAGCTGGGTGTGTGTGGCACATGCCTGTAGTTCTACCACTCAGGTGGCTGAGGCAGGAGGATTGCCACAAGTTTGAGGACAGCCTCGGCTACATAGTAAGACCTTGCCTCCAAAAAAATAATACCAAGTGCTAACAACACAGAGCAAGCTGTTGGAAAAATGCAAAATGGTACAGCCATCTAGAAAACAATCCACTTCCTATTAAAGAGACACAGGCCTGGGCCTGGGATTTAGCTCAGTGGTGATGCCACCTGCCTCACAAGCACAAGGTTCTGAGTTTCATCCCTGGTACAAAAAAGAAAAAGAAAAAAAAAAAGGTGGCTGGGGATTGAGCTCAGTAGTTCCACCGCCTGCCTCAGAAGTGCAAGGTCCCAGGTTCAATCCCTGGCACCAAAAAGAAAAGGAAAAGAAACACAAGCCAGGGCCAGGGGTTTAGCTCAGTGACACCACAGAAGGCAAGTGCCTGGCAAGCTCAAGGTCCTGAGTTCAATCCCTGGTACTGGATAAAAGGCCATTACAGCATGGCAAACTCATTCCTACATAGTTCATCAGGAATAGTGAAAATCTGTTTTTACCCAGGCTTTATGTAAAAAGTCAACAGATTTCTTTGTAACTGGCACACTAGATAGGCGTGGTGGCGCACGCCAGTAATCCCAGCTCTCAGGAGGCGGAGGCAGGAGAATCCCTGTGAGTGCAAGACCAGCCTGGGCTACATAGTGAGTTCCAGGTCAGTCTCACTACATAGTGAGATCCTGTCTCAAAAAACAAACAAACAAACAAAAAAAACTAACTGGCATACTAGAGACAACTTACTGGGTGTCAGCAGTCAGGCTATCTAAACAATGGGACACTTTTTCACAAAAATGTACTCATAGGTTAACAGGCATGAATGTCAAACACAAGCTAAGTGAAAGAAATGAGGCTCAAACTGCTACATTATATATAGAAAATTCTAGAAAAGCCAAATCTATAATGAGAGCAATACAGTGGTTGTTAGGAGTGGAAGAGATGGAAATGTTCTGTCTCGTCCATGATTGGTATATAACTACATTCACTGAACTGTTTACATAACTGAGTGGGTTTTACAGTATATAAATTGTACTGTGGTAAAACTAATTGAAATATATACATGTGCACACACATCAGTGCACATCATATCAGAATGATCAAACACAGATATTTCTCAGAGTCAGTAACTGAAAAGTGTTGGCAGACTGCATAACTTAAAATGGACTTATGTACTCCACTGTCCAAAAGGTGTTAACTATGGGTTTCTCTTGAGTTCAGAGAAATGTCATTTTTGCCTGCATGTTCCTGAGTCACCAACTGATCTGCTTACCTGAAAATATTTTGGCTCATTTACATGAATTTTCCTCCCAAAGTTCTGAGCCTGCATGATTCTGAGGACTCCACAAGTCAAATCTTGGTTTCATCAAGTCCTTTGATCCTCTTCCTCTTGAACATCCACCACTTGCCTACTGAGGACCCCTGCAGAGGAGCCTGATCTCCTACTCAGTGATACCATGCAAGGCAAAAAGAACTGGTTCTTATTGTGGGACTGAGCTACCTAAGATAAGGATGAATACTATTACTTAAAAGGAAGATTATTACAAGACAGTGCCCTTGATCTGGTGATTTCCTTCTGAATTTCAGGGAAACATCCCTTCCAGGACCTTGGCTAAAAGGAAGAAAGTGCATGGGGTGGGCTTGGAGTTAGCAAATTGATCTGCCATCCACAAGAGCTGCTTTGTCTCAGTTGTGCTCCTACCTTGAAGGAAGGAAAGTGAATGTGAAACAGACAATCATCCAACCCAGTGGAAACTCTCACAGTGAGAACTTTTAGCATTTGCTCAATCTTGGGGGAAATACAGTGCTTCAGTGGAACTAGTAAACTGTTTTTTTAATCTCATATTGGTAAATTATTGGCACTATTTAGGTTTATCACTCATTTATTCTAAATTACATTTTCCTTATCTATGTCAGTCTACTTATGAGAATTAACTAAGATATGAACAAGGAAAAGGCCTTGTAAGCCCAAGATACTACATGTGTGACATACATGGCACTCTTCAAGGGCACACCCCAGCCTGTCACTGTCCTATATCTGCTGTGTCTGCAGGTGTCTCCAACTACTGTCCTGTGGATAGGCTCAGGAGTGGCAGTGTGGCAAGAGTATGCTCTCCAGGCATCCGGCCAGATGGAGTCCATATAAGTTTAGATCTAAAGTGTACCCAGCCAGGTGTGGTGGTGCACGCCTGTAATCCCAGCACCCAGGAGGCTGAGGCAGGAGAATCGCTGTGGGTTTGAGAGCAGCCTGGGCTACATAGTGAGTTCCAGGTCAGTCTCAACTACATAGTGAGACCCTGTCTCAAAAAATAAATAAATAAAAAATAAAGTGTAACCAAATCCAGGTGTGGTGGCCTGTAATCCCAGCACTTGGGAGGCTGAGGCAGGATTATCACTGAATTCGAGACCAGCCTGGGCTACACAATGAGTTCAAGGCCAGC